GAATGTATTGGTTTTTATAACAGCATTTCATAATTAAAATTTTATACGAGGGTGTTTCAATAAATAATGCAACAAACAGTATATCATAGTAAATGTAGATCTGTTTACTTTTATTTTTTCACAGTTGAAGCGTTCAATTAAAGAGCTTCTAATCACAGAAAACCCCATGATTTTTCCTATTCTCCTTGCAAAGTAATTCACTTTTAAAGTATGCATGGTAAATACACTGAGCTGAAAATTGTTTAAAATGATCTCTGCCAAGGAGATGAAAATGAGAGCGTATGTGAAAACTGCTTCTTTAGATTAATCGCCGAAGAACTTACATGTATATTTAAGATGTGATTTTTATATGTGGAAAGAATAGTCTTTAACGCTGTTTAATTTTCAGATTGATTCAGAAATTCAAAAGTAAAAGAGGAGAGTTAAAATATAACAGTCAAACTGGTCGATTGAAATTTGCAGGGACACCAACAATTATCTATGCTATGTGCAACATGATATCTGAAAATGTCAGATTTACATCGAAAGACATTGCTTAGACATTAAGCATTTCATCATCACAACATTTTATAGAATTCTGACAACGGAAATGAATATAATAATATTAGATAAGTGCCTTATTTTTTTTTTAAATTGCCTAGGAGAAAACACATTAAACGTGTTAACGGTCTATTTAAAAACAAATATTTTAACAAAATAGAAAATTTGTTAAATTTGCATGATAGATGACGAAACATTGGTGCACTTTTTATAGCCAAAAAGGAAGATCAATAATAAAATGTGGAATCAAAGAAAAACCTATCGTTCTTATTATTGTAAAGAGAAACAAGGACCCCAAGCATGTTTTATTAGTTTTCATTTTTTAAGAGGTCCAGTAAACGCATAAAAACAATCAGAGGAAGATTGTACAATATTAGATATGTCATGGGAAGTGATATTCATCAGTGTCTTTGGGGCATCCCTAAAGATGAGTATGCTGAGGTTTTCTGGTCATGGGTACAAAGACTTAAGACATGCGTAAAGGGTAATAGGGAACGTTTTGAGGGATTGAAAATATTTAGAATATGTATTATGTACTTCTCTTACTTTTAGATGACCTATTGCATTTTTTATTGATCGACCCTCGTATAATTTGATAGAAAGAAAAGTAAACTTTTTACAAATTATGGGCTAATGATTTTGCAGGAACTGGACACATGTAAATAATGGTATATGATGGGAGCGTGGAATAAATATTGTAATATTCTGAAAATGACAAAACTTTGGCATAAAATATTTTAAAAGTACGACTATCGTTCGACTAAAGCATCCAGCTATTCGACTAAGCTGTCCGAGTAAACGTAAATCCTTGGTATTTACCCTATTTTTCTTTTGTTTTATTTATTTTTTTCATTAACTTTGCTGGTGGATGACCAAAAGAAATGCAAAAGTAGTATTTGGCTATTCTTCTCGAAAAAAGACAAAAAAAAGTCCATTCACAGATTTTGTCCGTATCGTGTACCAAATACATTAGAATGGTATTTCTGTTTAATAAATTTCGACGTAGATGTGCCATGGCTACTCATATGTAATCATCTGCTGAATGCGGATTAACTATCCTTCTCATATTTTATGTCTAACTGTAATGATATATATATATATATATATATATATATATATATATATATATATATATATATATATATATATATATATATATATATATATATATATATAAATATAAATAAATATATATATATATATATATATATATATATATATATATATATATATATATATAGCTGAAAAGTTTTAAAATGTTACTCGTCTGCTTAAAGTGTTTGTTTGAATTGAATGAAACTTAAAATCTAACTTTGATATAATTTCAAATACTATCTCTTATTGAAGTTTTTATCCCCTTATGACTAATATAAATGAAAGTAGAAATGGATACCTTATTTTATTTCAATGAATAGAAAAAATCCTTTTAATTATTTCAATTTACTTCAGAATTCTTTTTCAATTAATAGAATCTTGTTACAAAAATGTAATACTTCACACCAGAATATATCAGTTTATTTCACATAAATAGAGCTTCAATATTTCCAGAGACTTTTTGTTTCCACAGTGTTTTCTGGGCAGTGTTAACATCAGCCATACTCACAGCCTTCATTGTGGTTGCGTCTTTGCTGTTTGCATACTATGGTGACTTGAATACCTTAACTACAATGAGTATTAAACTCAAGGAAGAACTTGATTTTCCTCCTGTTACATTTTGTCCCTTATCTAAATATAACTTCTCAAAAATTCAAAACAATACATCATTTCTTAGGTACTTGTCATTTGTGAGCAAAACTAGTTCCCTTTCTGCTGGAATCGAACTTAATTTCAGTGACCCGGAAAACACCTTTTTACACGAGGATGGAATAGACAATTGGTTGAACTATGTCGGATTTGAAGTGAACGAGACATTTCTGTCCTGTAGTTACAGAGAAAAAATGATGAAGTGCTTCGATCTGATGATACCAAAACTGACTGACATGGGGCCTTGTTTTATGTTAGACGACAGAGTTCTGTCTCCGACTTCTAATCCTGGGAAATCCCATGGCTTATCTCTCTTGCTGCATATTGACCAGGATAATTTCGTGCACACAGAAAGCATGGCTGTTGGAATGAGTGTATGTATGTTCCCTAAAGCGATCCTGAATTAAAATATTTTGAATATGTTCATATCTTACATACAAAGCATTTAATCTAGGTAGCTATCCATCCTAAAGATGAAGAACCCAACATGAACCTTGACAGTTTCCTCATTGGCCCCGAAACAGTAACAGAAGTAGCCCTCGAATATAAACAAGTAATTTTGATAGTTTGTTTGAGTTACATTTGTATTCATGACAGACGCTTCATACATATGCTTGATTTATCTAATACATGTATTTCAGATATATCCTCCATCTATCTCTGATTTTTTTTTTCAACGCAGTACATTCAACATTCGGAAATGTCAAAATAGTTCAAAATTCATTGCGATCTTTTTTCCTCTCGAAAAATCTGCAATTATTCAAAACCTTTGGTGGCAAGTCGTGTTATTCTTTGAAAGAAGAATTGAGGATATTGAGTTTCAGAAAAAAATGATAATTTAATACGCTTTTGGAACCCATGCATCCTTAACAATATTACAGGACGTTTATTTACCTGCTCCCTATTTGGCCTTTACTGACGGTCATTGTGTGGACGTCACCAGTCCTAACTTAAACTCCCCTTTACAGCACCATCAGATCTACAGCCATCGCGCCTGTGTCCGAGAGTGTAAGAGCAGATTTATTATCAGTCACTGTGGATGTAGAGGACACACATACCAAGGTGTGTCTCTTTTTGTCACAAATTTTAGTATATTTGAATAGAATTTACTAAGTTCACTTAATTTTCCTGTCGTGACTATATATTTTTCCAGGACCGGAGAAACTTTGTTCTTTTCACCAGATGCATACTTGTGTTCTCAAACAAGAAGGTGAGCTGCTTTATATCTTCGAACACAGCTAAAGGGTTGTGAAAGTTGTGAGAGCTAGAGGAAAACTTTACAGTACGTTTCAAAATTGAAAAAAAAAGAATCATATATATATATATATATATATATATATATATATATATATATATATATATATATATATATATATATATATATATATATATATATGTGTGTGTGTGTGTGTGTGTGTGTGTGTGTGTGTGTGTGTGTGTGTGTGTGTGTGTGTGAAGGTTTTAATGGGGAATAAGACATTCCAATACGTGATCTCAAAGTAAAAAGTACATATAAACTTGAAAGAGAATGATCATGCTTTTTAAAGTACATGCATGCATAATGTATTCATGACTTAAAAACACAAACTTGATTTCAGATGTATTTGAACAAACACAATCACAAAGAGATATATGTTCATGTCCAAGATCGTGTATAAGAACATATTTTGAGAAGCAAATATCGTCTGTAACGCTTGGCAAAAGAACAACAATGCTCAAACACAATGGAAAAAATATAAGCAGGTTTGTATAATTATTTCAAAGTCCAAGCTAAAAAAAACGAGATATCAACAGTTTTGTATAATACAATTATGGTCTTCCGTGTAGTATCAGGTGAACCCATTTTAAGAAATATTGACCGAAAATACAGAAACGATATTGACGGAGCCTGCGAGGTCAACATCAATCTCTGTGTATGAGGTCAATATAGCTTGACATGGGTCCTTGCAACCACATATTAACCGTACATTGAAGTACTTAATAGTTATATTATATAATTGCTCTGATAACTGATAAAACATAGTCTTATATCTAGGATTGACGATAATGTAATAGACTCAAAATCTTTGTTTTTTTTAAAATCTAAATATTCCTGTAAAGGTTGGTCGTTTTTGAACGTTAAACACTTTCATAGTCTACGAATTCCGAGTTCTGAGTGAGCGAAAAAAAAATTGATGCGGCCTTTTTTTTGTTCACAAAAGAAGTGGTGAGTTGAAGAAAGTCTTTAAATATCACCTAGAAGAAAAACTATTTGTTGCATAAAGTCCCTACCACATAGGGAAGATAAAGTTGTAATTTTTTTCTTCGGTAAAATCCCAAGAATTATTCATATATAATAAAGACGAAATACAGCAAACTATTATGAATTATTTTTCAAACAATTAAGCAATTTTGTTATTTATTTATTACAGTAGTCAATTTCCATTTACATCAGAACAAATAAATTCACTGAATTTAATGTAACACGTGGTTTTTGCATTCATCATTTGTTCATTACATGTAAATCGATTCCTATTGTAGAGAAAATTTTGCCCACGTGTTCATATATTACCGTTCATTGATCAGAGAGAGAAGAAAACAGATCCCGAAGATGAACATACTTAGTCTTTTAGGTATATAGTTGTTTTCCGATATCTAGGAATTTATGTACAATACATGTAGTACAAACTGAAAACAAACATTTATGTGCAATAAATTAACTTTCTATCCATTTATAGGCAATCTTGGTGGCTACATGGGTATATTCCTTGGAGCTAGTATTCTAAGTTTAGTCGAGTTATCTCAGGTCATCCTACAGGCAGTTAAGCACACAATCACAGTGATAATAAAGAGAAAAAAGAAAGCGGATAACCCAAAAGATGACATATATGTTGTCATGGAATAAATACTTCATTAATTTACTGAATATTTTAGTAGCCTATTGACTGTATTACTACAAGCATGTTCAGTTGTATTTAACGAAATGAACTTGTACTTTGCTCTATGTAGGTCCGTCTTAAAGATGATATTTCAAGTAAAAAATCACTACAAGTATTATGTTATAGAACATAAAAGTTTAATAAACATGTCTGGATTGAGACTTATTCTAAGTTTCTGGAGCATTATTGGGCACAGGTTTTATTTGACAGTGTCTGTAGAAATTGTAACCATATTGGTTCTCTGCTTTACTCTGGTAGTGCCGTAGTTTTATTTGGTAGTGTCTGTAGAAATTGTAACCATATTGGTTCTCTGCTTTACTCTGGTAAGGAAACACTTGATGTGTCTTATGATACGCCTCAGAAACACGCACGCTGTGAGGACAACCACTTCGAACACCTCTGTAATTGTTAGTAAGCTAGCCCCTAGGAAGATCCCGAGATATCCTCCAATATTTCCTGAAAAGGAAGCAAGCTTTTTTTATTTTTATTATTTTTTTTTTACTTTTTTCGTAACTGAGATACTTCTCTATCTACATGTAATAATTTTATTTTTTTTTTCATGGAGTTCAATGATTGATTTTCATGGAGAGATAAGTTGTCATTGACTGCAATGTACACTAGTAAACATCTTTAAATTATATTGTTTTCCATGTTTAGTGTAATTATATGTACATGTTATTACGTACCAAGCACGCTTGTTATGTCTACCTTTGGAACTTGTTCAACTGTGTCCGTTACAAATGTATCGTAATAAAATTTCAGCTCTAAGTAATTCGTACTGTAATAAAATAAGATTATTTTTTAAAGAGTTTGTGAAGAAATATCTTAGTTAACATGTATTCACTGAATTCCCTTTAATAGAAAATTCTCAATGATACCTGATATTTTCAATCTTATAGAGATTATATAGTACTTCTCGGAATTTTTCTGAGGGAAACTGGGCAGACGAGATCTCTTTTTCAAATTCCACCTCTTCACATGGTATGAGACAATTACACGCAGCCTGAAATTTGGGACTGCCATCAAATACATCTAAAAAGTAGCATGTAACCACTCTTATCATTTTGGTAATTAAATAGTTAAGAAATGTTTTAAGTTTTTTTTTGAGTTATTGGGGTATAAATCACACAGACTTGTCGCGTTAGCGCTTCATGAAAAATATGACTACGTGCAATTCTGTGTGATTTACACACCAATAATTCACACTTAACTTAAAAACATTCCTTATATTTACATTTTACATGTTCAAAAGCACCAAAAATATATTATTATTAATTAAATCAATGAGATTTTATACATATTCAGCATGTAAATGTAATTCTGTCAATGAGAATATAGAAAAGTCCGGAGTGTAAATGTTATCATCATTTAGGAACTAAATGAACAAACAAGAATATCCACAAATTAAGCATGTATATTTGTTCTTATCATTTAAGAATGAAATTAACAAAGTTCTTTATGCAATTAACAAACCTCTCGTTCCAAAAGCACACCTATCTTCCTGGGCGATGGTACAGATGATTTCGTCAC